CTTCCCTGTTTGATGTTCCCCATTCCCCGTGGTGTCCCAACGGACCCTGTTTGTCGTGCTTGAGTCTAGTTTGATGTTTCGGGTATCGTTCGTAAGGTAGAAGAGTCCTAGGAATTGCATGCTAGTTGAACCGTTAACACGTTGGCCTAGGTGGAAGTTCTATGAACCCTTTAGGACTATTCCTAGTATGTGAATGATCACACGTAAGTTTATTTATACGTCTCCCCCTTCCCGATGTGCCAATACGTGCTACTATGTGTTATGTGATGCATGATTCCCAAATTTGGTTGAGATCAAATTGGGAGTTCCTGAGCTGTGGTTCAGAAGTTGGCTACGGTCAAATTGGTTTCTTATGAGCTGTGGTTCATTTTCCTGGCTGCGGTCAGTGATTCACATCTTGGGCTACAGCCCACATGGGCCTCGTGTGCGGATGGTCCACCGACTGGACGCGCCAGCCGTGTGTAGGGCCACCAGCCTGAGGAACGCCATAGTCCACCGAATGAGTGATCAGGCGGTGTGTAGGGCTATTGTAACACCCCGTGTTACGGCCTTCAATCCCAGATTAATTATTTAATTAATTCCGTTAATAATAATTAAAAAGGGATTTAATTTGGCTAGGATTCCCTTTAATTAATTAATGTGGTCCACCATGGATCGTGGACCATTGCGTAAACTAGAATCTTAAGCTTATTAGGAATAAAGAGAGTAAACCTTTTTACTAATCAGATTCTAATTAGGAGTCTTAGACTTAATTATCTATTAGAAATAAAGAAATTAGGCATTTACTATTCAGATCATGATTAGGATTCCCTTTAATTAATTAATATGGTCCACCATCGACCATGGACCCTTATCCCTAAACCAAGCCCTTAGTCCTCTAAGGAATAGAATTAGTAAACCCACACCATTCAGACCCTAATTAGGACTCCTAGATATATATATATATAAGGACATAGGAGGCACCTAGAAGTCACACCACAATAGATATCACCACACAAGAATTCCCAAGGGACTCCCCACCACCAAGCCTAGGGAGATCAAACGGATGGAAATCTTAGGGAAGAACCTTAATAACCAAGGGAGGATTAATTAAGGCTAAGAGGTAACCCATGTCTCAACAAAACCTATTTTCCTCGCAATAATCTCCTTCTTTGGCTCCCTCTATATACTTGTGTCTTGATAAATTTCTTTATGATAATTTCGATATAATCTTGATTGATTGATGTGATGATTTTATGAGTGATCTTGATGTTAAATAGAGGTTCTTGATGTTTATGTGATAATTCTTGATAAATCTTGATGATTCTTGATGATGAAGATAAAATATGATTTTGATGATTTGGGTGGGATTAGAGCCCTAGGTTGGATTGGGAATTTGTATTGAGATGTTCTGGATTTATATTTGGGTGGTGATTCGCATGTTCGGGTGTTGTTTATGTTTAGAAGTCATGTTAGGATATGTTCAATATGATTCTTGCTTTTGATCCATTAATTGCCTATGTGGTGTCGTTATTTGCGTTGAAAAGTGTCTAAGCATGATTTCGGGTTCCACAAATGATCCCGGGACGCATATTTGATAAAAGAGCCAGTGGGGGTAGGTGGGGATAGGGGGACCCGCCACCTACCCGCTGCCTAAAGTAAGACCGCAGGGCAGCGGGCAGTCGTCTGCCCGCCGGGCACCCGCTTCCCGGAAGTTGTCGCCGGCGGGTGGCCCTCCACCCACCGGCTACCCGCTGGTTTGTCACCCACCCCGGGTCTTTCGCTTCCCCGTTTGATGTTCCCCATTCCCCGTGGTGTCCCAACGGACCCCGTTTGTCGTGCTTGAGTCTAGTTTGATGTTTCGGGTACCGTTTGTAGAATAAAAGAGTCTACGAATTGCATGCTAGTTGAATCGGTGACCCGTTGGTCTAGGTGGAAGTCGTATGAACCCCTTAGGACTATTCTTAGTATGTGAATGATCACACATAAGCTTATTTATGTGTCTTCCCCTTCCCAATGTGCTATTATGTGCTACTATGTGCTATTGTGTGTTATGTGGTGCATGATTCCCCAATTTGGTTGCGATCAAATTGGCTATACGGGCAGTTGGATGGGTTGAGAACCATCCCAACTGTTAACCAGGCCGGTTACGATTGGTCAGGTATATAAATATTATATAGGGTTGCGGTCCACTATTGGTTACTTATGAGCTGCGGTTCATCCTCCTGGCTGCGGTTAGTGATTCACTTCTTGGGTTGCGGTCCACATGGGCCTCGGGTATGATGACCCACCGAACTAGATGTGCCAGGCGGTGTGTAGGGCCAATAAACCCGAGGAAGGCTGTAGTCCACCGACCTGAGTAATCAGGCGATGTGTAGGGCTACGGCTGGCTGTGATCCATCGAGTGATGGGCCAGCGGTGTGTAGGGTTGTAGTCTCTGAGGATCTTTGCCCACCGACTGAGTCTTTCAGCGGTGTGTAGGGCTTGATCCGCTACGGTCCACCGACTGTGCCCGTCAATGGTGTGTAGGGTCGTATGTCCCCTCTTGTAAAAGGGATCACAGTCCACCGACTGGGCGCGTCAGCGGTGTGTAGGATTGTGGTCCGACGTTGAGTTCGTCAGCAGTCTTTAAAGGGTTGGTTGCGATCAACTCCCTTCATGCTGCGGTATGAGGTAGGGTGCTGCGGGGCCGTGATAGTGCTATATGCGCTAACACTCATGTTCGGGGCATGCGATTGGTCCCGTGGCGACAGCTCAGTGTGATTGTGTGTCACAAATGATGATTGGATGATGATATGATTGATTTGAAAGTAATATGTGACCTTAGTTGCGTATTCTTTATGATGGTTGTTTCTCTTTAACTGATATCATTGATTATTGTGCTTGTCCCTATTTGCTGAGTCTATCCCTGATTTTAAAGGTAGAGTCTCCTAAGTATATAACTTCCTGTTTCAAAATGGTTTTCTTATATATATATATATATATATATATATATATATATATATATATATATATATATATATATATAGGATTATATTCAAATACAAACAACCCTTAAAATACAAACGTGTGAATTACTTAGGATCGTTAGATTTTGTAGTGGATGGATAAGATTAATTCTAATATTTCTAGCTTTTTAATTGTCACGCTTATGATTGTATTATTATCCTGGGGTAATTTTGGAATTTAACTCCTTTAATTGTTAGAACCGCACATCACGCGCATTGGGGAATTGGGGGTATTTTGACGTCTCGTTATCTTCTTCACGAATTGAGGGTTTGGTCTATGTCGTCCGTGTCTTCTCAGCATGTGATGTTCACAATCCATCTTCAGCAGCATCGGACGATGGTCGTCGGTGGAGATCGCAGTCAACCCAAGCGCCAAGGACTACCCACTCGGGGTGTAGGTCGAGGTACTTTGCTCCCATTTGTCATTTCTTTTCTTTCTTTTTCTTTTTTTTTTGTATTCTATGCCGGCGTTTTCGTTTGTTGGGCGTGAAGGGGAGGGTATCTCCATCTCAAGCAAATTATGTGCTGGTTGGTTTATCGGACGCCGGAAATTTGTTCGACCTTTGTAGATTCAGGTTTTCGTTTTTGTTTTATTGTTTATGCATATGTTTGTAGCTATAGTTTTGGTCTTTCTTCCTGTTATGCAGTTCGGTGTTCACTCTCAAAAATTCTATTGTTCAATTTCGTCGTTTGTTTTAATTTTTTTTTAACGAATGGGGATGTGAATAAGTGTATTTGTCTTTAGATAATCAACTTGCTAATTCATGTTTCTTGTATTCATTCACCATTTTTCAATTTCTGAATTTATATTTTTTTTCCCTTTTTGTTCATAATGGTTGTGTACGAGCAGAACTTTTGGGAGTTGATGTGTGAACTCCTGTGTGGAAATGAGGGCATTGCTATTTTGTGATGTGTGCACTGTGTTGCTCAATGTGTCCTAGATTTTTGTCAGAATGTGCTTTATGATGTTTGTTGTTAGCGTTATATTTTTCTTGGTTGTGTGCAATTTCTCACTGCCAATGGTTGTTAGCATTTTATTTGGTCTAGGAAGGTAGCAGTTTGACTGGGGATGCATGATGCATTGCATTTCTAAGCAGCATCTTGATGCGAGGGAAGAAGTGAGGTTCATGGTTGAGGATATAAAATCTGATTTTTTGAATTTCTTATTAAACTGGAGGTTTCTCTCCTTTTGTTTCGAGATGTCCCATTAACTTTTCCAACTTAAAAAACTTACTAAATTTTTTACTTTTATATTTCTATTCTGATCTTCCATCATACAAAGTGACAAAATAGCGGTGCTACTTTCAATCACTTAAATGGCATTTCAGGTATATATATATATATATATATATATATATATATATATATATATATATATATATATATATATATATATATATATATATATATATATATATCATCTAATACGAATTTAAAGAATTTATGTTGGGTGTAGGTTGGTGGGTGGGTTAGGGATTTGTTCTTGGTGTTCTAGGCGGGGATAGAGTCACGGTTTGGTGGGTGTGCGCCCCCATGTAGTAGTGTGTGCAGTATTATAGTCTCACATTTTTTTTTCATGTTTGTGTTTGCTTTTGTCTTTGCCGTGAACTGTAGTTTGTGTGCCTTGAGAGTAATGTGTGCTTGTTTTTGTGCAGGTGTGTGCTCACTCTTTAGTCAATCTGTTTGTTGTCATATTCTCAACGGGGTTACGTGTGCGTCGGGTGGTTATGTGTGTGCGCACACGGGTATCCTGAACTATGCACATGGGTAGCCTGAACTGTGCACACGGTCTCCTCTATCTGTGCATACTGTCTTTTTGCGTGTTTACACGAGCAGCACCAAAGGCATTGAAGTATGGGGATTCACTAGAGGATATGGTAAGTCTTGTGCCATTTCCTTGTGTGTTGTTTTGTGTTCGTTCCCCTCTGCCCCACTATTTTCCTTGAGTTTGTTTTCCGTTTTGATGTCACCCTTATTCTATGTTTGTAGAAAGATATGCTATCCGAATTCTTCAGAGTTATTCATCTTGGGAGGTCGGCTATTTCTGTTGGTTTGGATACTAAGCGGTTGCAGATGTCTTGGCGGGATTCCAAGAATAAGACTGATTGTGGAGTCTATCTTATGCATCATATGGAATCTTATGTAGGCCAGCGAGTCTCCAACTGCGACTGTGAACTTGTTAAAGGGGACGCTGCGATGCTGCACAAAGTTAGGTTGCAGTACATGAAGGAACTGACAGCGACGGAGTTTAATGTGTACAGATCACGGAACCTATCTTGGGCCTACCAATCTATCTATGCTCCCCTTCCGTTTGTGTAGACGTATCTTTTCCACTGTGGTCTTTTGGGGATTCCTACATGTCGTTCTGTAGACTAGCTAGTCCTTATTTTTGGACCTGTTTGTTGTTTTTGTCATCAGGTTGTAGGATAGTTCTGTCATTTTATATTTTTATTCATAGTATCTTTATGGTATGCTTGGTCTTAGCCTGAAGTCCGTGTACATTGGTAATGTAATTCTTTAATTTTATTCAGTACACTATCGATCCGTGTGCTCACTTGTCCACTGATGTGTGCTGGAAATTGTATAAAGGAACTAATCTAAAGTTATCCACATGTAACACCCTCTCCATCTTATAAAAATTGCATTAATTATGCTTGCCATGATTTGTATCAAAAATTCAAAACAAATAAAATATTATCTTTTTTTTCCAACTTTTCCTATAAAGGTTGCATTAGTAGCACACATATTAAATTAAATTTACTTCAAATAAAATGAAACTAGCCTAATAGAAGAGTTTAAAACAGTAATCTAAAAAGATAAAAGGATAAGTTAAAAATAAAAAATAAAAAGTTATTAGTACGTATGCCAATTCAACCCAACCGTGTTATATTGACAACTGGTAATATTCATCAATTTCTGCCTTAAACGCATGATGGAGCCAAAAACTGAGTTGAAAAGTAATGGTGAAATCATTCAAACTTACGAGTTGGTTGAACAGTGCCTTAATACAAACTTCCATGGCACCAAAAGAATGGTTCAAGCATTTCTACCTCTTCTCCAACTCTCCCATTCCCCTGGAATTGTCAACGTTTCCTCCACTATGGGGAACCTAAAGGTGTGATGATCAACTCTTACTTTTATACATTTGACATCTAGTTCATAGTAAATAAGTACACATCAACCAAAAAGAATATACATTCCTTCACACACATATTCGCTAATATGCACACATATATTAACCATCTGGCCATTTGCCGTTGAAAGTAAAAATGCACATAATTAAGTTGCTGCGAAATGAAAGGGCTAGAAAGGTATTGATTTTATGTATTATGCTGTTTATCAACTTTAAAATAGTTTTCCATCCCTAGTCTAAAAACAATGTCGTTCTATTCGTATGTTTGGACAATTTTGGCTGTCATGGCCCGAGCTGCACATCCTCTACATTTTGTTCTTCGCCTGTTATTGAACAAAACATTATTGCAATTACAGTAAGTATTATACGTCTTTTGCCGCAATTTTATTTCATTAAAGTGCACACATGGCTAAGCATAAAAAAAAGGACGTGTGCACAGATATTTCTGCAGAGCACACAAGTTTACTTGTACACATGTGTGCGCAGGCACACAACGGTTTATGCACGGGAGAAAATATGAATTCTCCTCACAACGCACAACGTCGAAATTCTCAGATCCTTTTCAAATCACTACGCTACCAGTACGCACACAACCGAATATTATCGATTATAAAACGTTGGAAAAAAGTTCATGAATGCACATGGCACCCTGTATTCAAGTTCAATCAATCGCCGTGGAAGAACAACGGTAAGGGTTTTGAGAAAATTACCGATTTCTGCAGCCTCAGTGTGGTCTCGGTTCGCATCCATGTCTTCGCGCAAAGCCACTGTGTCCGGATGCCGTCTCTACTAGTCGATCGCGTTGGGTTGGACGTAGAGAACTCCTACTATACTTAGTGTTCTTTAATTCTGGCAGAATCCCCATATACAATATATTCCATAATTGTGTTACATTAATTGCATAGTCATAATTGCCCTTATTTACACTAAATTAGCGTATATTATTAATTTCTTTCCTAACATCTGATCCATCAATCTACATCCATCCAAAGGCTAGTTTTTGTCCACATGTTTGTATTTTAAGGGTGTTTGCATGTGAATGCAACCCTATATATATATATATATATATATATATATATATATATATATATATATATATATATATACCTATACTGTATTTCAACGCGTTGGAATGGGTTACTGGCATCATTCACTGAACAGATATATTTAGCTTTCAGGCACAGACGAGTAGACACCGGAGCGCGCTAGAGATCCAGAGTTAGATTAGTTAGTTTCCCTTTCGGCCTGCGTGCCATTTTTATGTATTGACATTGCTTTGAGGTTTTTTAGTTAGTTTAGCCTGTGCATTTGAGTTTTCCAGCTCAGATGTGGCATAGCACCCCGCACTCTTATGTTGATTTTGGGATTTAATGAGAATTCACCTTTATTATTTAAGCTTTGAAAGTTTCAAAATTTCGGGGTGTTACAGCTATGGTCGGCTGCGATCCACCGAGTGAAGGGCCAGCGGTGTGTAGGGTCGTAGTTTTCGAGGATCATCGCCCACCGAATGAGTCCCTCAGGCGGTGTGTAGGGCGTGATACGCTACGATCCACCGACTATGCTCCTCAACGGTGTGTAGGGTCGTAGTCCCCAAAAGAGGATCGCAGTGCACCGATTGAGCGCGTCAGCGGTGTGTAGGGTTGTGATCCCCGTCGAACTATCGGCAGTCTATACGGTTGGTTGCGATCAACCCCTTCATGCTGCGGTATGAGGTAGGGTGCTTCGGGGCCGTGTTAGTGCTATATGGACTAACCCTCATGTTTGGGGCATGCGATTGGTCCCGTGGCGCCGTCAAAGTGTGCTTGTGTGACTTGAATGATGATTGAATAATGATGTGAATGGTTCGAAAATGAACTGTGCCTAGATACATGTTCTTTATGATGATTGTCTCTATATAACTGATTATGATTGTTGAATATGTTCATCCCTACTTGTCGAGTCTATCCCTGATTTTAAAGCTAGAGTCCCCTAAGTATATATCTTCCTGCTTCAAAATGGTTTTCGTATATCTATATATATATATTTACCTATATTGTATTTCAACGCGTTGGAGTGGGTTACCAGCATCATTCGCTGAACAGATATATTTGGCTTTTAGGCACAGATGAGTAGATCCCGGAGCGCGCTAGAGATCCGGAGCGTAGATTAGTTAGTTTCCCTTTCGGCCTACGTGCCATGATTATGTATTGACATTGCTTTGAGGATATTTAGTTAATTAGCCTGTGAATCTGAGTTTTCCAGCTCAGATGTGGCATAGCACCCCGTACTCTTATGTTTGATTTTGGGATTTAATGAGAATTCACCTTTATTATATAAGTTTTAAAGGTTTCAAAATTTCGGGGTGTTACATAACCAGACTCATGACATACTACTAGCATTGACACGACAAGACAATATTAAGAATACAAGAATACAAACCATGATCACACGACACATTCCATGTTTCGACCTTATGTCAAGTTCCAACCTTTACACCGCCCCATCCTTATATCAGTTCCAACCTGTACCTCCGAGGCCACCCTGTACACCAGTCCAACCTTATCCCTCCGGAGCAATGTTCCCCGCCTGCTTTTCCACCAACTTCTCCACCGATCTTAGCACACGCAATGCCATAAACATAATTTCACCACAGCGCAAAGCACACGCAGTGCCATAACATAATTGTACCATAGCACAATAACATAAGCACACGCAGTGCCATAACATAGGTACCGCAGCACCGTAATATAAGCACACGTAGTGCATCATACCACCAATCATTTTGAGCATGAAGCTCATCACCACCAATCTCATCATACATGGACATCATCATAACATTTAAGACTCACAATAACATACTTAATGGGATAAACATGGAAGGGAACCACATACGTACAACTCACGACGACAGGTGACATCAAGACTGTGACACCCCGTAAATCCAAACGCTAATCGAGAATTAATTGAAGAATTAATCCAAGTTTCCTTGCTAATCTATTTCTAAAAATCCAGAAATTTAATAGTCGAAGGACTAGATTTTGACTAGTCACTTAAGTCAAAGGGTTGTACCTTGTGCTTCTTGAGTTGTGCCCTTGTTCCCTTGTTCCCTTGTCTTTCCAACATTAGTAAGGGTATGAATGTCTTTCTACCTAAGGATTGTGATTCAAGCTAACCTAGCAAGACTCTTTCATTTCATTCACCCTTCAACCTAAAAAGACAAAAACTCTATTCTCTCTCTAAAATGGTTTAACTTCTTCTCCAAGCTAGAATTTGAGCATCCAAGCCTTGCAAGTTTTTCTTCCAAGATTCCTACTTTCTTCATCTTGAGCATAGGGAAGGGTAAGATCCTTAGCTTTTTGGTGTTTTTAACCTTCTTTTAGGTGTCTTTTTCTAAAGTTAGGATCTTTGTTATGTTTTGTTGTGTGTAAGAAGTTGGTGTGGAAGAGGAGCTCTAGGAAAGGCTTTTAAGGGTGAAAAGAGGAAGTTGTTAGGCTACAAAGGTAACCCATGCTTTACAAAACCTATTTTCTTACTTATATGATGATTCTTGGCTTCTACTTGTGATTCTTGTGTTGATTTGTGAAATTTGATGCATTATCTTGTGGTGATGCATGTTTAGAGCTTGTTCTTAGGGTTCTTGAATGCCATTGCTTGGCTATTTCTTGGGTTCAAGTCATATTGTTGTTGTGTGTGAGATTTTGGGTGTTTTGGACTTGAACTTGGCCTTGTTGTTGAAAATCCCCGAAGGGATTATTGTGTATAGGAGAGTGTACCCGCGGGCAGAACGACGGGTGGAGGCCTACCCGCCGCTCCACCCGCGGGGTACGTGGCTGCCTTGGGTATGTACCCGCGGGCAGAACCGCGAGTGGAGGTCCACCCGTGGCCCCATCCATGGGGAACGTTGATGGTTGATGTCAGGGATTTGTTCCCCGTGATTCTTTTGACTCGGTATTGATGTTTTGACCTCCCGATGTTGTTTTATTGGGCTATTTGTGAGTCTTCTTGATGTTTCGTAAGTCTAGAACGGTATGTTAGGAATCCATGTAGGATTTGGTGTCTTGAATCGTGCTAAGGGTCCGACTTTGTGATTCGTTGGGCTATTGTGAGTCTTGAATGTTCTTTGGAATTACTTTTGGTTTACCCGTTTGTTAAGCATGCTAGTTTGATGTTGAAATGCTAGTCTGTGTGATTTGTTCCTTCTTATTGGGATTGGCAACTTGTGTTGACAATCATTTGGTGTTGAGTATGGTCTCATGTCTTTATTGTGATCTCTTTATTAATTCCTATGATATGAAAGTATGCAAATCGTTGTCCCCCTTGATTGATACTAGATTGAGGTTATTGTTGAACCTTAGTCTTCTTGGTAATGATGATGACCTTGTGTGACTATGATTAAGATTGATAGTGTAACACCCGTAAAATTAAAAACTTTAAATGTCTACGAAATAAAGGCAATATTATCATTAAACCTCGAAACGGAGCATAACTAAATATAAGTGTTTGAGGTGCTATGCCACATCCGAGCTGGAGAACTCAGATGCACAGGCTATACTATCTAAATATCCTCAAAACAGTGTCAATACATCATCATGGCACGCAGGCCGATAAGGAAACTAACTAACTAAGCTTCGGGTCCTCTAGCGAAGCCGGAAGATATATATATTGTAACACCCCATGTTACGGCCCCTAAAACCAATTAATCATTTAATCATTTACCCAAAAGAAAGGACTAAATTCCAATAATTAATTAGGAAAAGGCCCACCATAGTCCATGGGCCCTTATCCCTAAACCCAATCCCCTAGTCCTAGAAGGAATAGAACTAACCCTAATTAGGGACTCTTAGGTATATAAATAGGGGGGCATAGGAGGCACCTAGAACCCACACCACAATAACCTCTCACCACACAAGAAGTTCCAAGAATCCCCCTGGGAGAAATCAAGAAAGAATGAATCTTAAAGAAAGACCCTTCATAGCGAAGGAAATTAATTAAGGCTAAGAGGTAACCCATGTCTCAACAAAACCTATTTTCCTTACTATAATTATCTTCTTTGGCCTCCTCTCTATACTTGTGTCTTGATGAATCATTTATGATATTGATGATATGTTCTTGATGATTATGAGATGATTTTATGTGTGATATTGATGATCTTGATGATGATAAGAGGTTCTTGATGATTATGTAATGTTCTTGATGAATCTTGATGTTTTGATGATTAAAAGATTAACTATGATTTTATTGATTTGAATATGATTAGAGCCCTAGGTTAAAACTGGGAATTTCGTGTTGTGTCATTCTTGATATAATTGGGTGGGATGTCACATGTTCGGGTGTTGATTATGTTTAGAAGTCATGATAGGATATGTGCTATATGATTCGTGCTTTTGATCTGTTAATTGTCTACGTGGTGTCATCAATTGCGTTTTAAAGTGTCTAAGCATGGTGTCGGGTTCCACAACGGATCCCAGGACGCTTATTTTGAAAAAGAGTCAGTGGGGGGTAGGTGGGGTTAGGGGGACCCGCCACCTACCCGCTGCTCGAGAAGGGCATCGCCTGCAGCGGGCAGCCCCCGGCGGGCAATCGCCTGCCCGCCGGGCACCCGCTGCCCGGAGACTTGTCGCCGGCGGGTAACCCTCCACCCACCGGCTACCCGCTAGAAATTGTCCAACCCGGGACTCCGGCTTCCCCGTTTGATGTTTCCTCGACCCTCGTGGTGTCCCAACGGACTCCGTTAATCGTGCCTAAGTCTAGTTTGATATTTCAGGTGTCGTTCGTACGATAAATGAGTCTTATATATCGCATGATAGTTGAATTGGTATCCTGTTGGCCTAGGTGTAAGAAGTATGAACCCCTTAGGACTATTCCTAGTTTGTGGATGACCACGCATAGGTTTCTTTATACGTTTTCTCCCCTTTCCCAATGTGCTAATATGAGTTGCATGTGCTTGCTATGTGTTATGTGTGCATATTACCCCAATTAGGTTGCGATCAAATTGGTTATTCCTGAGCTGCGGTTCAGAAGCTGGGGTCCGCCGTTTGGTTATTCCTGAGCTGCGGTTCAGAATTACACTCCCGGGCTGCGGTCCGCCGTTTGGTTGCGATCAAACGTTTTACATGAGCTGCGGTTCATATTCCTAGCTGCGGTCAGATGATCACATTTGGGCTGCGGTCCACCGTTTGGTTGCGATCAAACGTTTTACATGAGCTGCGGTTCATATTCCTGGCTGCGGTAAAATGATCACTTTTGGGCTGCGGTCCACCGTTTGGTTGCGATCAAACGTTTTACATGAGCTCCGGTTCATATTCCTGGCTGCGGTCAGATGACTACTCTTGGGCTGCGGTCAACTGTTTGGTTGCAATCAAACATTATGATGAGCTGCGGTTCATCGGTCGGTTGCGATCGACCCCTTCGTATTGCGATACGAGGCAGGGTGCTGCGGGGCCGTGTCAGAGCTATATGCGCTGACCCTCATGTATGGGCATGCGATTGGTCCTGTGGCGCCACTAAAGTGTGCTTGTGTGTGATGAGATACGAATTGGAATGATGATATGAATGAGATGAAGTGAATCTGGGACTATAGGATATATGCTAGTATCTTTATATGCTTGATTATAACTGTTGAATGTGCTTACCCCTATCTGTCGAGTCTATTCTTGGTTTTAAAACTAGTGTTTCCTAAGTATCTATCTTCCTGCTTCAAAATGACTTTTCGTATATCTATATATATATATATATATATATATATATATATATATATATATATATATATATCTATCTATAATGTATTTCAACGCGTTGGAGTGGGTTACCAGCATCTCTCAAGCACAGAGGAGTAGACACTGGAGCGCACTAGAGGTTTGGTGCGTAGAGTAGATAGTTTCCCTTTCGGCCTGCGTGCCATGCTTATGTATTCACATTGTTGAGGATATTAGTTAGTCAGCCTGTGCACCTGAGTTCTCTAGCTCAGGGGTGGCATAGCACCCCGTACTCTACTATATTATGTTTTGGTATTTAATGAGAATTTACCTTTATTATATAGGTTTCAAAAGTTTTAAAATTTTGGGGTGTTACAGTTGGTATCAGAGCCTAAGTTTGACCCTAGGATAAGACTCTTAAGACCAAACTTTAGGACAATAGGCTTGAACTCTAGGTATTTAGAAACATATGACTCAGGAGTCTTAAGACGCGTGGTGAGATTGTGAGCATAACCACCATCACATATCCCCCTCACTCTTGTTTAAATTAAAAGAACTTCCCCTCCGCTTATCACACCAAGGTAAGGGTACAAAACTCTAAATTACTGTAAACATTGGCCCAGTAAAACAGCAGCATGGCACCAAATCGAAGACAATCAAGGACCCCGGAACCCACCACACACAATCCCATGACTCAATCCCTACAGCAACTAACACAAGTCGCCCAGACGCTAAGTGACGTAGCTCTCCGCAACAACAGAGCCCCACCACCTCCATCAAACACGAACTCGGAAGTCGCCCGGCAAGTTTCAAATCATCGACCACCCACGTTCTCAGGAGAAGAAGATTCTGTAATCCTCGAAGAATGGATCCGGACCTTAGACAAGATTCTAGGGTTGGTAGAATGCCCAGAGGAACGTCGTGTAGAGACAGCCTCATCCTATTTCGGACACGAGGCGGACCTTTGGTGGACCCACGAAGGGCCCACTTACAGACATGAACTAGGATTCGACTGGGAAAACCTCAAAACACGACTACGAGAACGATTCTATCCAACACACGTCAAGACATCCATGCACGAAGAGTTCCTCCACCTGAAACAAGGAACGACTACCGTCATGGAATACCATAAACGGTTCCTCGAGCTAGCACGCTTCGCACCAGAACTAGTCCCCACTGAGGCAACCAAAATAGAAAGGTTTGTAGCAGGTCTCAACTTCGAAGCCCGAAAGGCACTAATAGTAAGCAGACCCTGGACCCTCAACGAGGCTTACTCCAGTGCCGCAAATCTCTATCGGATCCAATTGCTGCAACGTGGGGTTCAGGAACAGATTCGAAAAAGGAACACAGGAGGTGGAACACCACCTATGAAAAGAACGAGGAACGACGCCAACACAAAATCAAGCAATCCAGTCGGCCAGAGGCCACCCCTGGGAAACAATGAAACTAACACAAGGAGCTTCCCTTGCCCGAAATGCAACAGAAGCCATAGGGGCAGAGATTGCATGGGCAACCCCTGGTGATGCTTCAACTGCGGGGAAGAAGGGCACAAGGCCTTTCAATGCACTCAACCCCAGAAATCACGCCCCACCACCACGGGCCAACACGGGGGCACGAATCATCTAGGAAACTACGGTGCCCCCGGAAAGGTGTTCGTCATAAGCCGCACCCAGGCCGAACTCGAGAACGAAATCAACCACGAGGAAAGAAACATGGCCCCAGGGGACGAGGACCACGCAAGCCCACCAAAAGAAAACCAAGAAGATGAATTCTGTTTAGGATAACTGGCAAATCTCTTGTAACCACCCTCGTAGTAGAATTACTTGCTTAGATTAGCTACTTCGGAATTATTATAGATAAAGAGCTAAATCGAAATTAATTTTAGCGTAAGGTAAAAAGACTAGATTATGCATATCAACAACAAGAAGGGGACCAAACAAAAAAAAAAAAAAAAAAAAAAAAAAAAAAAACCAAGTCTTTTACCACTAGAAGACGAAAGAAGGAAAAAAACAAGGATCACACAATGAAGAAAACCAATGTTACCAATGAGAATTGAACCCTTGACCTTCCACTTATAAGATCAGGACCCTAACCATTAAGCCATGAATGTTTCTTAAAACCTTAAGGGAACACTCCCTTCTTAAACCCCTACAAATCCCTAAAACCCCACAAAAATCCCCAAATCAAAAACCCTTCTTCTTCTTCCACATTCCCCCACCCTCTCTCTCTCTCTTCATCTCCCTCTCACCTCCCCGCCGACCCAACACCACACCAGCAACCATCACCGCCCGTCACCGTCACCAGCCGAGTTGCCGCCGGCCACCCAGGCGACGCACCACCGCACGCCACCGTCGCCACCCGGAAGCAACCCGCGACGCCACCACCGTCCGTCACCCGCCCGGACACACCCCGCTGCCACACGCCTCACCACTGCCCGATTTCGCCCAAGGCCACCGCCACCACGTCGAGCCGTCGCCAGAACCAAGCCGCGCCGCCGCCCGCTCGCCATCGAGAGAGCCACGTCACCGGAAGCTCGCCGGAGTCACGCCGGAGCCTCTCTGGAACCCTCGCCGGAAGTTCATCAGAAAACCCTACCCACCCAAAATGCCGAAAAAACCCCTGGGAACCCGCACCCCGGAATGGAGCAGCACCAACTACACCGTGATCGGAGGTAAAGCTCTCGAACCCGACCAATTCTCTCCGGAATTGGTCGACATGCTTAACTTCCAAGGGCTCTTGGATACGTATCTCACCATAAAAGGGGATACATACCCCGAATTGGTGAAAGAGTTCTATCGTCACTTGGTGGCCGTCAAGCGAGCTGATAAATTGGAAATCACCGCCATGGTCCGAGGCAAGGAAATCATGCTTTTTGAAGGCCGTTTGGCCAAGCTCTTAAGACTGACCACCACAGGTGTGTCAGACTTTGACCGAAAGGGGTGGATCGGTACCCGGAACCTGGGGTACAAAGACTACCTCGGATACCTACTTGGAGAGGAAGAAGGCTTCACCTCGGCCACTCGGCCAAATAGGAAATGGCTAACCGCAGAGCAAAAAATACTAGTCATGATTGTAACTGATAGCCTATTGCCTACAAACAACAAGAGCAAAGATGTGGGAAGTTTGGAGTGTACTTTTGCTTACCTTCTAAAACACAAAATCAAGGTCAACCTACCGGCCCTCATGTTAAAACACATGGAGTTTTGCAAGACTAGTAACCGGCTTAGTCTACCTTACGGAATGATCCTGAGTTGGATCATGGAGAAGACATGGAAGTCAAGCCCGCAAGCGGCATGGTTTTCAATGCCCAGAACCTCTGTCGCAATGATATCTACTACACCGAGGGAGGACAGTATATCACCCTCGAGGAGATCTGCCTTAAACCCGAGGAGGAGCGAAGAGAGTTGGTTGACCGATTGGACATCTCCAACAAAATGCTTAAACGAGCAATGCAAGATTGTGGGGGACTAGAGGGAAACGAGGAACAGGAAGAGGATGACGAGCCTAACCCACCGGCACCCGCACGAACAGGAGGAAACTCAAGGGGACAAAACGAAGAATCTGTCAACGAACGCATCCTCGCACAGCTCACCCGGCAAAACCAAATCATGGACGAAGGGTTCTCGTCCCTAATCCACGTGACACGCGCTTTAGATCAGAGGGTGGCAGCAATCGAGACCATCCTGGGCACTCGCGGGGCATCCAGTCGGGAGCAGGAAACCAAGGTAGACCCGAACATCCCAATCACCACGTCACTTGAAATCCAGTCCACCCCAGCAAGGACAACACGTAGGGCCACATTCCTAACCAGGAGGCCAAAATACGGAATGTCCAGGGGCGAAAAAATGGGTTAACGCACCGACTTCGGGGACGAAGCCTCTTGTAAGGGGGGGGGGAGAGTGTAACACCCCGTGTTACGGCCCCTAAAACCAATTAATCATTTAATCATTACCCAAAAGAAAGGACAAAATTCCAATAATTAATTAGGAAAAGGCCCACCATAGTCCATGGGCCCTTATCCCTAAACCCAATCCCCTAGTCCTAGAAGGAATAGAACTAACCCTAGTTAGGGAGTCATAGGTATATAAATAGGGGGGCATAGGAGGCACCTAGAACCCACACCACAATAACCTCTCACCACACAAGAAGTTCCAAGAATCCCCCTAGGAGAAATCAAGAAAGAAGGAATCTTAAAGAAAGACCCTTCATAGCCAAGGAAATTAATTAAGGCTAAGAGGTAACCCATGTCTCAACAAAACCTATTTTCCCTGCTATAATTATCTTCTTTGGCCTCCTCTCTATACTTGTGTCTTGATGAATCGTTTATGATATTGATGATATGTTCTTGATGATTATGAGATGATTTTATGTGTGATCTTGATGATCTTGATTATGATAAGAGGTTCTTGATGATTATGTGATGTTCTTGATGAATCTTGATGTTTTGATGATTAAAATATGAACTATGATTTTATTGATTCGAATATGATTAGAGCCCTAGGTTAAAATTGGGAATTTCGTGTTATGTCATTCTTCATATATTTGGGTGGGATTTCACATGTTCGGGTGTTGATTATGTTTAGAAGTCATGATAGGATATGTGCTATATGATTCTTGCTTTTGATCCATTAATTGTCTACCTGGTGTCATCAATTCCGTTTAAAAGTGTCTAAGCATGGTGTCGGGTTCCACAACGGATCCCAGGACGTTTATTTTGAAAAAGAGTCAGTAGGGGGACACGCCACCTACCCGCTGCCCGAGAAGGGCGTCGCCGGCAGCGGGCAGCCGGCGGGCAGGCGACTGCCCGCCGAGCACCCGCTGCCCGGAGACTTGTCGCCGGCCGGCAGCCGGCGGGTGGCCCTCCAACCACCGACAACCCGCTGGAAATTGTCCAACCCGGGACTCCGGCTTCCCAGTTTGATGTTTCGCCGACCCTCGTGGTGTCCCAACGGACTCCATTTATCGTGCTAAGTCTAGTTTGATGTTTCGGGTGCCGTTCGTAGGATAAATGAGTCTTATATATCGCATGCTAGTTGAATTGGTATCCCGTTGGCCTAGGTGTAAGAAGTATGAACCCCTTAGGACTATTCCTAGTTTGTGGATGACCACGCATAGGTTTCTTTATACGTTTTCTCCCCTTTCCCAATGTGCTAATATGAGTTGCATGTGCTTGCTATGTGTTATGTGTGCATGATACCCCAATTTGGTTGCAATCAAATTGGTTATTCCTGAGCTGCGGTTCAGAAGCTGGCTGCTGTCAGAATTACACTCCCGGGCTGCGGTCCGCCGTTTGGTTGCGATCAAACATTTTACATGAGCTGCGGTTCATATTCCTGGCTGCGGTCAGATGATCACTTTTGGGCTGCGGTCCACCGTTTGGTTGCGATCAAACGTTTTACATGAGCTGCGGTTCATATTCTTGGCTGCGGTCAGATGATCACTTTTCGGCTGCGGTCCACCGTTTGGTTACGATCAAACATTTTACATGAGCTGCGGTTCATATTCTTGTCTGCGGTTAGATGACTACTCTTGGGCTGCGGTCCACTGTTTGGTTGCGATCAAACATTACGATGAGCTGCGGTTCATCGGTCGGTTGCGATCGACCCCTTCGTATTGCGATACGAGGCAGGGTGCTGCGGGGCCGTGTCAGAGCTATATGCGCTGACCCTCATGTATGGGCATGAGATTGGTCCTGTGGCGCCACCAAAGTGTGCTTGTGTGTGATGAGATACGAATTGGAATGATGATATGAATGAGATAATGTGAATCTGGGACCATAGGATATATGCTAGTATCTTTAGATGCTTGATTATAACTGTTGAATGTGCTTACCCCTATCTGTCGAGTCTATTCTTAGTTTTAAAACTAGTGTCTCTCAAGTATATATCTTCCTGCTTCAAAATGGCTTTTCGTAAATCTATCTATATATATATATATATATATATATATATATATATATATATATATATATATATATATATATATATATATATATATATATATATATATATATATAATGTATTTCAACGCGTTGGAGTGGGTTACCAGCATCTCTCGTTGAACAGATATATTTGGCTTTCAGGCACAGAGGAGTAAACACTGGAGCGCGCTAGAGGTTTGGAGCATGGAGTAGATAGTTTCCCTTTCGTCCTGCGTGCCATGCTTATGTATTCACATTGTTGAGGATATTAGCTAGTCAGCCTGTGCAGCTGAGTTCTCTAGCTCAGGTGTGGCATAGCACCCCGTACTCTACTATATTGTGTTTTGGGATTTAATGAGAATTTACCATTATTATATAAGTTTCAAAAGTTTTAAAATTTCAGGGTGTTACATATATACTTAGGAGACTCAAATTTAACACCGAGAATAGTCTCAACAAGTGAGGATAGGCACATTCATCAGTCATAATTACGCATATAAAGATACTATCATACACCCTAAGGTCACAAGATTATTCCACATCAGACATATCAGTATTTAATCATTATATCAACACATAAGCATCCTTTGGTGGTGTCGCAGGACCAATCGCATGCTCATAAATGAGGGTCAGCGCATATAGCTCTGACACTGCCCCGAAGCAACCTGCCTCGTACCGCAGCACGAGGGGATTGATCGCAACCAATCGATGAACCGCAGCTCATATAGTAACGTTTGATCGCAACCAAACGGTGGACCGCAGCCCGAATAGTGTGTATTTCTAATCGCAACCAGATTATGAACCGCAGCTCATTTATAACATTTGATCGCAACCAAACGGTGGACCACGGCCCTATATATATTTATATACCTGACCGATCGCAACCGGCCTGGTTAACAGCCGATGGTTATCAACCCATCCAACTGCCCGTATAGCCAATTGATTGCAACCAATTGGGGTATCATGCACACATAACACATAGCCAAGCACATGCAACCCATATTAGCACATAGGGAGGGGGAAAACATGTAGATAAAACTTATGCGTGGTCAACCACATTGCTAGGAATAAGCCTAACGGGTTCATACATCTTTCACCTAGGCCAACAGGATACCAATTTGACTAGTATGCAATACACAAAACTCTTTTATCCTACAAACGGTACCCGAAACATCAAACTAGACTCAGGCACGACAAACGGGGTCCAATGGGACACCACGGGGCACGGGGAAACATCAAACGGGGAAAAACCACCAGTTCCACCCTTGGAAACCAGCGGGTGGCCAGTGGGTGGCCGGCGGGTGGTGCACCACCCGCCGGCTGCCCGCTGCCGGCGGCCTCTTTGAGGCAGCGGGTAGGTGGCGGGTTCCCTTGCCCCCACCTACCCCCCACTGACTCTTTTGTAATAAGTTGGTCCCGTGATCTTTCGTGGAACCCGAAACCATGTCCAAACACATTTAAACACAAACGACGACACCACGTAATCAAGTAGTGGATTGAAACCAAGAATCACATTAAATATATCCTAACATGACTTCTATACGTAATCAAAACCCAATACCCGAACATGCAAAATCCCGCCCAAACATACCAAGAATATCATAACATAAAGTCCACAATTTACCCTAGGGCTCTAATCATATTTAAAGCACAAGATCATTATTTTATCTTAAAATCAAGAACATCAAGATTTATCAAGATCAACACACAAATATCAAGATCCTGTCATAAACATCAAGATCATCAAGATCATCTCATAAACATCAAGATTATCTCATAATCATCATAAAAGCCTTATCAAGACACAAGCACAGAATTCCATATCAATGGAGCCAATGAAGAAGAATATAGCAAGAAAAATAGATTTTGTTGAGACATTGGTTACCTCTTAGCCTTAATTAGAATCCTTGGCTACTAAGGTTCTTTCTCTAAGATCTCCTCTTCTTGATTTCTCCTACGTTTGGTGATAGGGGAATTCTTGTGTGATGAAATCTATTGTGGTGTGAATTCTAGGTGCATCCTACGTCCTTATATATATCTAAGAGTCCTAATTAGGGTCTGAATGGTAGGGATTTACTTATTCTATTCCATATAGGATTAAGGATTTTGTTTAGGGATAAGGGTCCATGGTCTATGGTGGACCCTTCTTAATTAATTAAGGGAATTCAATTCTCTTTTAAGGGTAAGTAATTAAATAATTAGTTAGGGTTATAGGCCGTAACTCGGGGTGTTACACCCTCCCCCACTTACAAGAGGCTTCGTCCTCGAAGCCTACGCGTGGATCCATTCTTTCACCCCTGGGCGTCACGTATTTGGCCTCTTGAATTTAGGAAATGTGGCCCCACGTGTCGTTTGCTGGGGGTAGAGTGGAGCTTGGTGAGGTGGTGTTTGGAAAGTTTGCGTTTCCTTGGTTTCCTGCTACCAAGCTAGATGCCCGTGCATGCCCAACATGGCCTCGATCGCCGCCACTATCCAATCAAATGAGTGTGTTGCGAGGATTAGGGATGAGAACCCTTCATCCATGATTTGGTTCTGCCGGGTGAGTTGCGCGAGGATGCGCTCATTGACAGACCTTTCGTCTTGGCCTTCTGGATTCCCTCTTTCTTGTGCGGGTGCAGGTGGGTTAGGCTCGATATCTTCTTCCTGTTCTTCTTGTTCCCCACACTCTTGCATTACTCGTCTCAGTTTCTTGTTGGAGATTTCCAACTGGTCAACAAACTCTCGCCGTTCTTCCGTGGGTTTCAGGAAAACCTCCTCGAGGGTGATGTACTGTCCCTCTCTGATATGGTAGATGTCATTGCGGCGGAGGTTCTGGGCATTGAAAATCATTCCATCACGGGTTGGGTTTCAGTCTGGCTCAGGTCCACCCCTTTTCTTTAAATAATCCAACTTAGGATCATCCCGTAGGGTAAGCTAAGCCGGTTGCTAGACTTGCAGAATTCCATGTGTTTCAGCATAAGGGCGGGCAGGTTGAACTTGACCTTATGTTTAGGGAAATAGGCAAAGGTGCACTCTAAACTCCCCACGTCCTTGCTCTTGTTGTTTGTGGGCAACAAGCTGTCAGTTACAATCATGACTAGCAATTTCTGTTCGGCGGTTAGCCATTTTCTATTTGGTCGGGTGGCCGAGGTGAAGCCATCTTCCTTTCCTAGTAGGTACCCAAGGTAATCCTTGTACCCCGTGCCTTTGGTACAGATCCTTGCCTTTTGGACATAGTCTGACACTCCCGTGGTGGTCAGTTTCAGGAGTTTGGCCAAGCGGCCCTCGGAGAGCACTATTTCTTTTCCCTGGACCTTGGAGGTGACTTCCAACTTGTCCCCTCGTTTGGTGGCTATCAAGTGGCAATAGAATTCCTTTACCAACTCGGGGTACGTATCTCCTTTGATCGTGAGATAGGTATCCAAAACCCCTTGGAAATTAAGCATATTGACCAACTCCGGAGAGAATTGGTCGGGTTCGAGGGGTTTACCTCCGATCACCGTGTAGTCGGTGTTGTTCCATTCCTGGGTTCGGACACCAACGGGCTTTTTCGGCATTGCGAGTATTTTCCAAGAGGTGGTGTTTTCCGGTGATGCTTTTCCAACGAGACTCACTGCGGATTCCGGCGATGAGAGCGGCGGTGGAGCTCGGCTTTGGTGAAGACCCAGGGCGGCGGTGATAGAGCAACGGCCTTGGCGGGGTTAGAGGCGGTGTGCGGCAGTGGGTGTGGCCGGGCGATCAACGGGCGGTGTGTGGCAGTCGGGCGGCCTCACCATTGGTGGCTCACGGGGTGGCGACGGTCGGCGTGCGGGTGGCGGTGCTGGCCGATGGTTGACGGTGGTCGCTGGTGGTGGCTGTTGGCGGGGTGTGCAGCCGTGGTGCTCCTTGGGGATTCCGGCGGCATGGAGAGGAGGGAGTGAGAGGGAGAGAGAGGGTGAGTGTGTCAGAGGAAGGGGAGGAAGAAGGGTTTTTTATTTGGGGATTTTATGGGTTTTAGGGATTTGGAGGGGTTTAAGAAGGGAGTGTTCCCTTAAGGTTTCAAGAAACACTCATAGCCTAGTAGTTAAGGTTTTGGTTTTGTAAGTGAGAGGTCCAAGGTTCCATTCTCATCGGTAGCATTAGTCCTTTTTGTTGTGCATCCTTTTGGGTTTTTCCCTATCCTTCTTTCGACCCATGGTGGTAAGTGGTTTGACCGGACCTCCTTGTCGGACTTTTGCCTTCACCGTGTGTTGGGTTTGTGACTCGTGGGTCTATGGGGGATGTTAGTCCTCCTTCTCATGCTAATTTAATTGACTTTGTCTTTTATTTATAAAAATTTCTAAATAACTAAACTAAACAAGCGGTTTCACTAAGAGGGTGGTTTACAGGGGTTCACCGATCATCCTAAGCAGAATTCTTCTCCCTGATTTTCTTCCAATTGATTTGCGGGTTCCTCGTCTCCTAGGGCCATGTTTTCTTCGTCGAAGTTGCCCTCATTTTCAATATCAGCCTGAGTGCGGCTCATGACGAATACTTTTCCGGGGGTACCGTAACTCCCTTGGTTGCTTGTGCCACCTTGTTGGCCCATGATTGTGGGGCGTGTGTTTGGGGGTTGAGTGCACTGGAAGGATTTGTGTCCTTCTCCTTCACAGTTGAAACATCGCCAGGGGTTTCCCAGGCAGTCCTTGCCTCTATGGTCCTTGTTGCATATTCGGCAAAGGAAGGGTCTTGTATTTGCTTCGTTGTTCCTCATGGGCGGCCCTTGGCCAGCTGGGTTGCCTGGCCTTGTGTTAGAGTCGTTTCTAGTCCTTTTTACAGGTGTTGCCCCACCTCCTGTGTTCCTTTTACGGATCTGTTCCTAAACTCCCTGTTGTAGTAGTTGGATTCGATAAATGTCAGCGACGCTGGAGTAAGCTTCGTTGAGGGTTCGGGGTCTGCTCACGATTAGGGCCTTTCGGGCTTCGAAATTGAGGCCTGACACAAACTTCTCTATCTTGGTTGCCTCTGTAGGAACTAATTCGGGCGCGAAACGGGCCAGCTCGAGGAATCGTTTATGGTATTCCATGACGGTGGCCATCCCTTGTTTTAGGTGGAGGAATTCCTCGTACATGGTTTCTCTTACGTGTGCGGGGTAGAACCATTCTCGCAGCCGCCCTTTTAGGCCTTCCCAGTTGAATCCCGGTTCTTGCCTATAAGTGGGTCCTTCGTGGATCCACCAAAGGTCGGCCTCGTGTCCGAAGTAGAATGAGGTTATCTCTACGCGGCGTTCCTTTGGGCATTCCACTAACCCGAGGATCTTGTCGAAGGTTCGGATCCATTCTTCAAGGATCGTGGGGTCTTCTTCTGCTGAGAAGATGGGTGGCCGATGATTTGAAACTTATCGAGTGACGTCCGAGTTTCCGTTTGGTGGCGGTGGTGGTCGATTGTTGTTACGGAGGACTGCGTCGCTCAGTGCCTGGGCGACCTGAGTCAGTTGTTGTAGATTCTGGGCTAGAGGATCGTGATTGGAGGGTTCGGGGGTCCTAGACTGTCTTCTGTTTGGTGCCATGTTGATGGTCTACAGGGCCAATGTTTATTGTAATGATGAGTTAATGTGTTGCACCCTTACCTTGATGCGATAAGTGTAGGGGGAGTTCTTAAATTAAATGTAGAATAGAGTGAGGGGAAGGTTAGGCTTATAATGACAGGTAACCCACAATCTCAGTGCGCGTCCTAAGTTTCCTGAATCCCAAGTTCCTAAATACCTAGAGTTCAAGCCTAATGTCCTAAAGTCTTGTCTTAAGAGTCTTATCCTAGGGTCAAACTTAGGCTCTGATACCAACTGTAACACCGCTAAAATTTAAAACTTTAAATGCTTATGAAATAAAGGCAATACTACCATTAAACCTCGAAACAAAACATAACTAAACATATGTGTTTGGGGAGCTACGCCACATCTGAGCTGGAGAACTCAGATGCACAGGCTATACTATCTAAATATCCTCAAAACAGTGTCAATACATCATCATGGCATGCAGGCAGATAAGGAAACTAACTAACTAAGCTTTGGTTCCTCTAGCGCGCTCCGGAGCTACTCATCTGTGCCTGAAAGCCAAATATATATATAAAGAAACCATTTTCAAGCCGGAAGATATATATATACTTAGGAGACTCTAATTTAAAACCGAGAATAGACTCAACAAGTAAGGATAGGCACATTCATCACTCATAATTACGCATATAAAGATACTATCATACACCCTATTGTCACAAGATTATTCCACATCAGACATATCAGTATTCAATCATTATCTTAACACATAAGCACACTTTGGTTGTAGCGCAAGACCAATCGCATGCCCATACATGAGGGTCAGCGCATATAGCTCTAACACGACCCCGAAGCACCCTACCTCGTACCGCAGCACGAGGGGATTGATAGCAACCAATCGATGAACCGCAGCTCATATAGTAACGTTTGATCGCAACCAAACAGTGGACCGCAGCCCGAATAATGTGTATTTCTGATCGCAACCAGATTATGAACCGCAGCTCATTTATAACGTTTGATCGCAACCAAACGGTGGACCGCAGCCCTATTTATACTTATATACCTGACCGATCACAACCGGCCTGGTTAACAGCCGATGGTTCTCAACCCATCCAACTGCCCTTATAACCAATTGGAGTATCATGCACACATAACACATAGCCAAACACATGCAACCCACATTAGCACATAGGGAGGGGGGAAAACATGTATATAAAACTTATGCGTGGTCAACCACATTGCTAGGAATAAGCCTAAGGGGTTCATACATCTTTCACCTAGGCCAACGGGATATCAATTTGACTAGCATGCAATACACAAGACTCTTTTATCCTCGAACGGTACCCGAAACATCAAACTAGACTCAGGCACGACAAACGGGGTCACTACTACAAAATTACACATATAAGTAGTAGTTTACACTACACCCCTTAATAAAGGTGTAGTGTATAATTGAAACAAATAAGAATACACTTCACCTCTATTTTAAAAGTGTAGTGGAAAGTAAGTTTGTTTATAAAAAAAAAATTAAAAAACTTTCTACGGCACCCCAGAGAAAGGGTGCCGCACAAAATTTATTATTTTTTTATTAAATGATTTTCCGTCAACCATCTCCCTGATGGTGCCGCGGAAAGTCAAGGTAAATTTATTTATTAAAAAAAAAAAAACAGATCAGATTGGCGAGACCACATTTCCTCTCCTCCATTCCCTCTTCTCTATCGTTAAGTCCACAGTCGACGCCTCTCCTCTCCTCTCCTCCAAGCCTTGGACCATAGCCAACGCCTCTCCCCGCATTTCCTCTCCATTTCGGCCGCCGACGTTCCGCCGCCCTTCCTCCGCCGATGTTGCCATCCGACGCCACCGTCGAACCTCAACTGCCCTTACTCATAAACTCATAGTGACGGCCGGCCACCATTACCGAACTCGACGGCGGTTCCCGACAAGGCGATAAGGTTCGATTCGGAGACAAACCTTCAATTTCAAATCCCTAATAAGTTTTCCCCGCACAGCAGTTAGCTAAACCCTACTCCAATGGGGGGAAAATGTAGACAAACCTTCAATTTCAAATCCCTAATATGCTGTGTAAGTTTTATTCACTCTAGGGTGTTGTAGTGTTTCTTGTTTTGAAATTTTAAATGCATTTGATTCTAATGATGCGTATGCTTTGTGTTGTGTTTTTATCCAGGGCTTCCTCCTAAGAAGATCCCTGCACTATAGAGAATACAAGGGAGGCTGATGAGACTGTCTGCAAATCTGATGATGAAGAGGTTAACTATTACCTTTCTAATTTGATAGGGGTCTGATATGTTTCACACTCAAATGAATAATTCTTTTACTGATCTTGTTTAATTATTGCCTTTCTAATTTGTGGAGTCTTTTAGAGTTTCTGTGCCACATATTAGCTTCTTATTTTTACCTAATAAAATAAGGTGTATTTATTTCTGAGTTTTATATAATCATGTGATTTTTTTTATTGTTAAATATGCAAAAGGAAGGGATTTTACTTCCATTATCGTTGTACACACTATTGTTGGGAACTGGGTTTGTATTCTAAGCCATATTACTTTTGTTGCTTCTAATTTTAACTCTTCATATATTTCTACTGACTGTAACTGCTGTTCAATTTTGATGCTTTTTATTGATTAGTTATTTGACTTTCTTTCCCCCAATTTATCATAGGGCTACCTGATGGTCCTACAGCTCATTTTTGGCTCTCAGGACTTGTCCTGCGGAAGGATCTCAAGGTGGAATAATAAGATTAAATAGAATGGTGGTATTGATTAGTTGTGGGCATAGGTAGTTAGGTGGTAATGGTGGCAGAGGTGTTAGTGGTCGACGGTAGGCATACACACACATAGGAGGTGGTGGTGTTGATCATGAGTGAATATGGCTTCTATGAAGCAGCATATGGAGAAGGAGGTAAAAGGTATGCCTTGTGGGCAGCAAAAATGGCTCTTTCTCAAAATATAGGTGTCCCTTGGAGGCTTGGATAATGTGTGAGAACTTTGATGCTCCCATTGGAGTGGTGAGTACTTGCTGCACCCGTTCTTCCATGTGGCACTTTCTCGCTAACATATTTGTTTAATTGTTCGGTCGTAGTTCAAAATGTTGTTATTATCTTCAGTTAATATGCATTCAGGTGTATTAATTCACTTCCCAAATATTGTTATCCATTGGTATAAGATAGAATGTCTATATGAGTACTCATAATAAGAATGAATTGAAGGAACTCTTTGATTTTATAGATCGTAACATTACTTTGCCTTCTGCATAGTATGGATTACATCGTGGGATTAGCTTTTCCTGGCTCTTTCATGTGCTTATCTACTAGTACAGTACAGTGTTCATTTTGTAAATTAACATGTGTGTACTATTTATTCCCTTTATTTCATTTAAAATGAATAGTTACTGCTTAACAAAGCAGAGCAACAGTTACAGCCCACTGACCCAGTCCAACTTGAGTTAAATTGCAAATGGCCTGTATGAAAAGTATAAATGGTTGAAATGAATAGTAAATACCATTAAACTTTTCCTTTATTGTTCTTTAGAAAAAATATAGTAGTTCTCCAGTATATTTTCAATGGCTCTCTGACTCGCATTTAAAAGGATATTAATGTTTATGTCAAATAATTCATTTCAATTCAAAACATTTATAGACATATTTCTTTGAAGATTGACACTTGCAACTTGTTTTACTGTGATCAATTCACACCACTCTCTCCAAACAAGCCCAAGATTTGGACAGAGAATTAGCCTGGATGGTAAGTCATTCATAAAAGATTTACACTCTCTGCCTCTGTTTTAGATAGTATAAGTATATATATATGAAGCAAAACCAACTAGCTAGGTTTGAATTAAAGATGAGTTGAGTTGAACAATCAATATGTCCAATAAAAACATGTCATGCTTAGCATCAGGGAATTCTTTTTACAAGGGAATACATAAAGTGGAATTTATAGTGATCATAGATTGATTTCATAAACACAAAGGAAGAAACTCGAGAACATGGCAAGGCAGTTACAAGTTTAGCGATTTTACAGTCAGCAGAAAAGTTTTACAGTTGCTCCCTTGATATGACCGTGAGGGTATAGTTAAACTCCTAAGTTATGAGTAATTTGCATAGTCATGAGTTAATTGTATCATTCTTGATTATAGGTTTGGTCAATCAGCAACGAGGGGATACGGTGTGAACAAGCTCATGAAATTAAGGATCATGTTAACAACCTCGTAGTTTCAGAAAGCCTCTCGTGCTTCATTCCACAAGGAACTGGCATCAAGGTACAAAATGTAGTCATGTTACTTCTTGTTAACTTATCAACCTCTTATAAGTTAACATTTTTGTTTCTACGTCGTCAGGTGCATTCGTGGGGTGGAGAGTTCAAATTGCTAAACCAAGCAAAACACGCTAGATGCTTGGCTCTTGCCAAATCGAAACTGTATTGTGGTTGTCGGGATAACAGCATTCAGGTAAAAACACGCAACACTATCTGAAGGAGCATATGAATTTATTGATTTTAAGTTTTTAACACTCTCTTCCATGCTAGGAAATTGATATGAACGCGGGAACAGTTTTCTCGATCCAAAGTGGCTCTCGAAAATTGTTGGTAAAAGCTAGTCCTGTCAATGCACTACAGCTCCATGATGGACTGTTATACTCTGCTGGTTCTTCCTTGGATGGAACATCTGTCAAGGTAAGGGAATATGCAGGAAATTATTGTTGTTCTTACACTGCAAAATGTAATGCTTCTAAATGTGTTGTTTTGAATGGCATCGATCGCAAAGATATGGGACACTTGGAATCACTCCATGATAGCATCACTGCCCTCGACAATGGATGTTCAAGTGTCAAATATATTCTGATATGGGAAAGTGAATATGGTAATTTATTGTTGGAAATTAGGTGAAGAACTGAAGAAGAGGAAGGGGGCTATGAAGAGGCTGCTGAAGAGGGGGAATGGGGCTATGAAGAGGAGGAGTGTGATCAGGAAGAAACACAAGAGCTTTCAATGGAGTTGGAATATTTGGAACTAAGGCGATAACTGATAGAAAGATTTCGGGATAGAGGTACATAAACTTAGAGCTAATTCAAGAGTCTCAGTATATTGTGTTGATTGTTAAAAGTATATTGTGTTGATAGTAATAAGTATATTCTGTTGATTGTTAATTTTTGTATTACTTTGTAAATTGTTGTATTGGTTTTTGGAAATTTCTATACATGATATTAATTGTTGGTTTTTAAAAAATTAAATAGAATAATAAAAATATTGCAGAACATATTTATTTTAAAAAAAATCTGTGACACCTTCTCGGATGGTGTTGCGGAATTTTGATTATCATTTTTAAATAATACTTTCCGCTACACCCTCAATGAAGAGGGTGTAGCGGAAAGGATTGAATTTTCATTTTTAAAATGATTTTCCGCTACACCCTCAACTAAGAGGGTGTAGCGAAAAGTCAATATTTAAAGAAAAAAAATTAATATCTTTCGCTTTCCGCTACACCCTATACGGGTGTAGCGGAAAGCTAGGCACTTTCAGCGACACTAGATTTCGCTACACCTGTACAGGTATAGCGGAAACACTTTTAGAGGTGTAGCTGATGTGATTTTTTGTACTAGTGGGTCCAATGGGACACCACAGGGCATGGGGAATCATCAAACGGGGAAAAACCACCAATTCCACCTTGGGAAACCAGCGGGTGGCCGGCGTGTGGAGGACCACCCGCCTGCCGCGCTATACTGGGCAGCAGGTGCCCGGCGGGCAGTCGCCTGCCCGCCCGCTGCCGGCGGCCTCTTTGGGGCAGCGGGTAGGTAGCAGGTTCCCCTGCCCCCACCTACCCCCCACTGACTCTTTTGTAATAAGTTGGTCCCGGGATCTTTCGTGAAACCCGAAACCATGTCCAAACACATTTAAACACAAACGACGACACCATGTAATCAAGTAGTGGATTAAAACCAATAATCACATTAAATACATCCTAACATGACTTCTAAACGTAATCAAAACCCAATACCCGAACATGCAAAATCCCGGCCAAACATACCAAGAATATCATAACACAAAATCCACAATTTACCCTAGGGCTGTAATCATATTTAAAGCACAAGATCATTATTTTATCTTAAAATCAAGAACATCAAGATTTATCAAGATCAACACACAAATATCAAGATCCTCTCAAGATCATCAAGATCAACACATAAGATAATCTCATAAACATCAAGATTATCTCATAATCATCATAAAAGCCTTATCAAGACACAAGCACAGAATTGCATATCAATGGAGCCAAGGAAGAAGAATATAGCAAGGAAAATAGATTTTGTTGAGACATGGGTTACCTCTCAGCCTTAATTAGAATCCTTGGCTACTAAGGTTCTTTCTCTAAGATCTCATCTTCTTGATTCCTCCTACGTTTGGTGATAGGGGAATTCTTGGGAATTCTTGTGTGGTGGAATCTATTGTGGTGTGAATTCTAGGTGCCTCCTATGTCCTTATATATATCTAAGAGTCCGAATCAGGGTCTGAATGGTAGGGATTTATTTATTCTATTCCTTATAGGATTAAGGATTTGGTTTAGGGATAAGGGTCCATGGTCTATGGTGGACCCTTCTTAATTAATTAAGGGAATTCAATTCACTTTTAAGGGTAAGTAATTAAATAATTAGTTTGGGTTAGAGGCCGTAACACGGGGTGTTACAGGTGGTGTGTTATTTGAGCTTTGCTCACATGTTGGAGGCTGTGTGAATGAAATTATGGTACCCTCATGTACTAAGAGTTCGGCGCTATGTTGGAGGTTGTTGGAGTGGGGACGACGGGCCTTGGCGGTATAAGGTTGGACTAAGAAGTACAGGGTGGCACTAGGAGGTAACGGTTGGAACTGTTATAAGGCCGGGGGTAGCCATAAGGTTGGAACTATGATACTTGTGACATGTTGTTGTCACCGTGTGAATGTGAATTCTTTGCTTGTGAGCATGTCTTGATGTATTCTACTTTGTGATCAGTAGAATGCATCTTGAGTTGTGTTATCTTTTATGTCGCGGTCTTGTTGTAGTTGTGAGGTTGATGATCATCGTTTCTTTTTAGTGTGTTGATGAGTCTTTGAGGTTGATTTCCCTCTTTGATTTTAAAATGATATGTATGGTATTCCCGTTCCAAATGGTTTTGGTTATATCTATCTATATATGTTATTTAACGCGTATTAATGGGTTACCAGCAATGTTCGCTGACCGGGTGCGTAACACCCCAGATTTTCAAGACTTTTAAAACTTATATAATAAAGGTAGAATCTCATTAAATCCCAAAATACGATACAAAGAGTATGGGGTGCTATGCCATACCCGAGCTAGAGAACTCAGGTTCACAGGCTAAATTCTAAAACCTCAATCAGTATCAGTACAAAATCATGGCACGCAGGCCAAAAGGGAAAACTATCTAAGCTACGCCCCAAGCTTCTAGCGCGCTCTAGTGATCTACTTGTCTGTGCCTGAAAGCCAAATATATCTGTTCAGCGAGAGATGCTGGTAACCCACTCCAACGCGTTGAAATACAATACATATAGACATATATATAGATATATGAAAACCATTTTGAAGCATGAAGATATATCCTACGAGACTCTAGCTTTTAAAGCAGGGATAGACTCGACAGATAGAGCTAAGCACAGACAACAGTTATACCAAGCATATACAGTTTACAGACAGGCAAGACAGGTAAAGATAAGCACAATTAATAATCATAACCCAACATATACGATTCCCAGTATAAATCCTATAGTCACATCCCCAAGACACTCATAACAACAACTCATCCATATCTCATCACATAGCACACTTTGTTGGCGCCACAGGACCAATCGCATGCCCATACATGAGGGTCAACGCATATAGCTCTGACACGGCCCCGCAGCACCCTGCCCCGTATCGCAACACGGAGGGGTCGATCGCAACCGACCGATGAACCGTAGCTCATCATAGTTTGATCGCAACCAAACAATGGACCACAGCCCAAGAGTAGTCATCTGACCGCAGCCAGGAAATATGAACCGCAACTCATGTAGAAACGTTTGATCGCAACCAAACGGTGGACCGCTGCCCAAGAGTGTAAATCTGACCGCAGCCAGCTTCTGAACCGCAGCTCAGGAATAACCAATCCGATCGCAACCGAATTGGGGTATCATGCACACATAAAACATAGCAAGCACAGGCAACCCACATTAACACATTGGGAAGGGGGAGAAAACGTATAACAAAACCTGTGAGTGATCCTTCACATACTAAAAATAATCTTAAGGGGTTCATACTTCTTTCACCTAGGTCAACGGGATACCAATTCAACTAGCATGCAATATACAAGACTCATACAACCTACGAACGGTACCCGAAATATCAAACTAGACATAGGCACGATAGACGGAGTCCGTTGGGACACCACGGGGATCGGGGGAACATCAAACGGGGAAGCCAAAATCCCAAATTGGGTATTTTTCCAGCGGGTAGCCGGTGGGCGAGGGTTCACCCGCCGGCTGCCCGCCGGCGGCAGCCTTTTCGGGCAGCGGGTGCCCGGCGGGCAGCGGGTGCCCAGCGGGCAGCGGGCGCCCGGCGGGCAGCTGGTGCCCTGCGGGCAGCTGCCCGCCCGCCAGCTGCCCGCTGTTGGCGACGCCATCTATAGCCGTGGGTAGGTGGCGGGTCCCCTACCCCCACCTACCCCCCACTAATTCATCACCAAAAACACCCCGGGAACCTTTGTGGAACCCGGAACCATGCTTAGACACTTTTAAACTCAATTGACAACAACACGTAGACAATTAACGGATCAAAGCGAGGAACATACGGCGCATAACCTATCATGCTTTTCTAAACATAATTAACACCCAAACATGCGATTTCCCACCCAATACACCAAGAATAATATCATACGATACAACCTAGGGTTCTAATCACTTTTAAATCAACAAGGACACAATTCATCTTGTAATATCAAGATTCGGTAAGAATATCACATAAACATCAAGAACATCCTACAATCATCAAGAACATCATATAATCATCAAGAACGTCATATAATCATCAAGAACACCATAATTATCAAGAAACTCTCATTATCAAGATCACCCATGGTGTAACACCCCGTGTTACGGCCTTCAATCCCGGATTAATTATTAAATTAATCCCGTTAATAATAATTAAATATGATTTAATTCAGTTAGGTTTCCTTTAATTAATTAATAAAGGTCCACCATGAACCGTGGACCCTTGCCTAAATTAGAGTCCTAAGCCTATTAGGAATAAAGAAAGTAAACCCTTTACTCTTCAGATTCTAATTAGGAATCCTAGACCTAGTTATCTATTAGGAATAAAGGAAGTAGGCCTTTTACTATTCAGACTACGATTAGGATTCCCTTTAATTAATTAATATGGTCCACTATGGACCATGGACCCTTATCCCTAAACCCAATCCTTAGTTCCAAAAGGAATAGAATTAGCAAGCCTATAATATTAGTTCCAAACCAGGACTCCTAAATATATAAATAGGGGACTTAAGAGGCACCTAGAACCCCCCACCACAATAAACGTTCCACCACCCCAAAGTGCTCCAAGAATCCCCTTAGAAGAAATCAAGAAAGCAAGAAAGCTTAAAGAAAGACCCTTCATAGCTAAGGAATTAATTAAGGCTAAGAGGTAACCCATGTCAAAACAAAACCTATTTTCATAGCTATGATTTCCCCTTAGGGTTTCCCCCCCCCCCCCCCCCCCCCCCCCCGTATGATTGTGAATGGCGAATTACTATGATTACTATTGATGTTGATTTAATGATTCCATGGGGAATCTTGATAATCTTGATATTGGGAGTTTCCTGATAATTGTGATGTTCTTGATGATTAATTGGGATTCTTGATGATTATGTGTTGTTCTTAATGATTATGATGTTCTTGATGATTAATTGGTATCCTTGATGATTATGTGTTGTTCCTACCGAATCTTGCAATTAAAAGACGAATCGTATTCTTGTTGATATAAAAGTGATTAGAACCCTAGGTT